TGACTGACAATGTTGGGCAGTGCGGCCAATAGTTGTTCCGACACAAATCGTGCAACCTCGGGGTTCTCTCTCCTTGGCGGCATTTTCTAAATCAGAAGGGAGTTCATTATTAATGTAGCAATACTATGATGTTATCTCCTAGTTATCCAATGATGCTAAAAGGAATGTACTTCGCATAGAGAATAATAAGGTATTACTATAATCAAAATAGAGTAAATTCATCCGTACAATAAATTGACATAATAAGCATTCTTCAAAAAGTGTTCATGCATTGATATTTGGTGGCAAGTACAAAACAGGATCTCTAGCAACAGTACAAAGGAGTAAGCATCCTATTCTTAATTCTCCTTCTAGAACAACATCCATCCTATGGCTATTCCTAATGCCAACATCATCATATTACAAACTACCAACCATCCATACAACTTCCTAATTTCCCGTCTGGCTGCAACAGCCGCCTCTCTGTTCCTTATTATGCTCTGGTGGTGTGCTTCCATCATATCGGACAGGTTGTTTAAGATGTGATGGTGATATCCCAGTCGGGTCTAGTGCACTTGCGTATCAGATGCAATTCTCCTCACCTAGTCTATTTCTGCCGAATTCATGCCCCGAGTGCAGGATGCAGGTACCCCGGTTACCACTTGGGTTATTCTGTTCCCTGGTTGAGGTCGGGATGACTCCCCTATGACCCTATCAGAATCTTCGAATGTCACATGCTGTGGTAGTAGGACACTTTTCCTGGGCGTAACCCTGATCCTTGAGCCATGATAGGTTTGTGGCGGAACATTGGGTACTGGCTCTGTTGAGGGTAGGAAAGATGCTCGAGGAGTGGCAGCTGCTTCACTAGTCGTCGTGTCTTGCTCGTACGGGTCTATCTCCTCATTGAGAGCTGAGTTCCTTCTGGAGCGACCGACCACGTAACCGGATTCATCGGCTGAGTACTCACTAGGATCGGAAGACATCGTAGTGATCTGCGACATTAATAATCTTAGTTACTAAAGTGCACCATTTAACAAATGCTTAATGATATAGTGGAAGCTTCTAAACAACACTTAATAGTGACAAACATGGTGGATCCCCTGGACAATACCTCTGGTTACACTACCAGAGCTTCTGATCGTGAGACCAGAGCTTCTGGTTACATTAAAGTCCTTAGAAAAAGATTTCTTATCCATCGGTTTTCTGACAACCCAATGGAATTCTATTTGTCCTCTGCTGATTCACAAATAAACTTAGAATAATTATAGATTTTTTTTCCGTCCATCGGTCCTCTGGTTCTTCATTGGTCACTTACCAGAGCTTCTGGTTACAAAGACCAGTGCCTCTGGCTCAACCTCTACACTTAGAGAAATACTAAGCAATCCGACCATCGATCCTCTGGTTCTTCTTTGGGCATTTACCAGAGCTTCTGGTTGCATAGACCAGAGCCTCTGGCTCAACCTCTACACTTAGAAAATACTAAGCAATCCAACCATCGATCCCTTGGTTCTTCTTTGGGCACTTACCAGAGCTTCTGGTTGCAAAGACCAGAGCCTCTGGCTCAACCTCTACACTTAGAAAATACTAAGCAATCCATC